ATGTGTATAAGAGACAGGTGTGTGTGTATTTAACAAACAATACCAAACTATGACATACTATAAACATGTTTTATACATGTACATACATAAGCTATAACATACTATACATACATACATTTTTTTCACACACACATAATGCATTATGTATAACCAAAATGTATTAACACTATTACATTTCTAAATATATGTAATTTAATATACATGCAAATTACTATATACATATTTGTATATGAATACAACTCTTGTATGTAATGTATTATTTGATGTATATGCAGTTCATTTTTTATTATTACATATATTTATGGTATGGTATGATACATTTATTGAATTTATATGTATACAGTATATATTAATATATATACATATATATATATATTATATATATATATATTATATGTGTATATATATATATTATATGTATATGATATATATATTATAGGTATATGGGTTTCATTAGTAGTTTTGTTTTTCAAGGTTCATTGTTATTAGCTACTTAAAATGATTTTTTTTTCCATTTAAAATCAAATGTCATCACATAAACATTGGGTTTTATTGAAATACATAGAAGTGACTTCAAAAGCAAATTTAGATGTTTGCGTTTTCTTCATTTTTCTGGTGCATTTTTCATTTGGTATGCAGGTTTTTGTTATTTGTTTTGTTACGTAATTGTGTTCCTGTACCAGTACCATGGGAGTTTGGTGTGGCTGCTCGTTGTAATTGTGGTTTGTGGTGATGATCGGCGACGACGAAAATAACGATGACGTCGGTGGCGGCGACAAGGACGATTGAGTTGATTTCTATTTGAAAAGGAGATAATTTTAATGAGATATTGTAATAATGGTGGTGGTGTTATTGTTGATGATGATGAGTATAAGGATAATGGTTAGGATGGTCATGATAATGATTTTAATGACGATGATGACATCATTGTTGATGCAGATTGCGTGAGCATTGAGTGCAAGATTTTACCGTATCACTCTCACCATATTTAACATTCCCACAAAGAGTTTAAATTGCAAGAGGTCCGACTGCCGGGAATTCTTTGGAGCGCAATCCTATTTCAAAAAGTACTACCCAAAAGGGGCGTTGCCTTTAAGAGAACGTAAAGTGCGTTCATATCGAACGCGTGCAGCGCGTCTATAGAAAGAAAGCTGGAATTTGAAACGCAGCACGCGTTCGATACGAACGCCTTTTATGTTCTTATGAAGGACACGCCCCTTCTTGGGAGTACTTTTTAACGTTCCATTGCCTGTATACAAAATAAGGGCAGTCGGACCTCTTGCAGTTTTATACTCTCTGATTCCCAAAATTAAGCACTTGTAGACATGATGTGGCGGACTCACTAAAACAGGCACCAATCTTTACTCTAAACGTCGTTCTCTCTTCTCAATCGAGCTGCAATAACACTGTGAATATGTTGTTGGTTTACTAAACACTGTCGGACAGATATGTCGGACTGCCACGTGATATGCTCCATTTTATATTCTTCACAACTGTAAATATTAATTTTCTCAACTGTAAATATAATTATGAATACGTAAATCCTTGAATAAATATTTGTGGTTTTTTAATATTAATGTATTCTATGATAATAATATTCATAAATTTATATTATGCAAGTTTCATTCTTCATGAGGAAAACGAAATGGTTCCTCATTGAACTTTGACCGAAAGCACTTTGGATATGAGACATTAAATCAAAGAATTCACATGTTCCAGTCATGGTAAAGACAGATAACATACAAAATCCTAAACATACCTTATACATCACAACCTACATACACCAGGCCGAGTCTCGCATTCTAAATTTGTTTTCCTCCCCTACAATTTTTTCCCTCCGGAGTGCTCTATCTGTCCCGCCCCCTTCATCC